GAAAAGGTGGAATATATGCTGAAGGAAGGGGCTGGGGGAAGGAGTGTTCATTTGGGGGATATGGAGCAATGGAGAGTGAGAGAATGGCATACAAAGGGAGGGAGAAAGAAAAACTGATGCTGAGGAACACGATTTATTTATATTAATAATTTAGAAGGATTGCATTCGAAGCAATCCTGAATTTGTGGCCAGATTCAGAGAGGCAATGACTGTAACTGCTGACAATTCATCATCAAAAAGCCATAAATACCCACCTTTTATTTCAAATTCTGTTCAGATTTCTAAACTCGGCAGTGGAACAAGGAAGTCTTTTGAATGAAAGATTCTCCAATTCAGCTACCTATTCCTCTAAATGAAAATGTATTTATTGGACTTACTGTGGACTCTTAAAACGCTGCCTAATTTGGCTTCACACATTCTGCAGTTGAGTGTTACGTTTAGTTTACAGTGACTGAGAGTTGTAGCTTAAAAGCTGCAGCTTTCAAGCATCACAACACCCAAGGATTTAGCTGAGAAAGTGAGCAGATTGAGTGATGAGGAGATGTATGGACCGAGCTAATGTAGTCACTGGCTGATGCACCGTTTCTGCTATGTTAAATAAAAATGCATCCAGGAAACTTTTAGGTTCAATAATAAGTCTTTTCCTGTTCGTACAAGTCCAGACTAACTTGTGCGAGTGAGTGGAAGGCAGCAGCTTAGATTGGGATGAGCTAGAATTGGTTGCCTTGGTATTTAAATAAAAAACTATTCTGCTCGGAATCTTCCAAAGGAGAGGCGAGTACGGTGCCTTCAGCACTCGCCTCCTACTTTGGAATTCTCCTGTTCAGAGATTGTTTTCAAGGCCAGGACAATTATTCTCAACTCTAGAGGAATCGAAGGATCGAATGGGAAAATGGGATTGAGATCGGTCATGGCTACCTTGACTGGCTGATCAGTTGAGGGATCCAGACCTTCTCTTACCTTCTGATGTTTGCATCCTTGCATAATGAGTATGCTCCTTTGAAAATAGAGTTGAGTCAGCTCTCATTTGCTGACCAGCCCAATTTCTCTTTCTCCCACCTTTTGACACCAGTGACAAACATATTTTTAGTAAACACAGAGGTGTCCCCATGCTTAATCTGTGTGCAAAAATTACACACTTGGATTAACTAACAGCCTGCTTAGTAAGGAATAAATTAGCAACTGGATTTAGGTCATCATTGTCTGAATCTGTTGGCCATTCAATTAGATTGTGGCTGATCTGTATCTTTGAAGTAAAAACAGAATTTGCTGGAAAAGCTCAGCAGGTCTGGCAGCATCTCTGGAGAGAAATCCGAGTTAACGTTTCGGGTCCAGTGACCCTTCCTTTGACTTCTTTGAAGTCGACTTGGCTGTTTTCATTTCCATATCCCTTAATATCCCTCCCGAGCTAAAATCTGTCAATTATTCACTTCGTAATTTACCTCAGTTGTTGCAAACATGATCTTATTACTGACATTTAACAAAGCCTTAACAACCAAAACATTTTATGCACTACTTGTTACAGATACATTGTCTCATATCCGATTCTGTGATAAGCAGAGCACAGTATCTTCCAGGCAACTGCTGTCGGTTCCTGTTTTATTTGCCATCTCTGCCAGTATGTGATACTGGGTAAGGATTATTTGAGAAAGTCATGCTGGCACCAATCCTCCTCTGCCTTTGCTTTGCCTTAGGCCCATCGAATGATTCATGGTAGAGGACACAGCACCACAGATTATCTACAGAAGAGGCACTGTACTTACACAGCGAGTTTTGTTTAATGATACCAATAGGCTAAGACTTGGACTTTAAGAAGCTAGTGGAGATACGTTTGCTCCCTGCAATATCTAGAGCAGAACTGCTTGGCTCTGATCACATGCTGTAATATCAGTAGAATGGATATTGATTTCTTCAAAATTATTACCTTATACAACATGGAGATATCTGAAAACAGGACATTTTTAGAAGCTGTGATGCAGGAACTCCTAATTCTTATTAAATCAGTAAAATAACATAACTGCTCATTCGGCACTTTGTACTGTCAGTATTCACGGGAGTTTTCTGAGTGACCTTTGACCCCAACTGACCCAGCCTAAACTGTTCAACAAGGTCCACCCTGTGACCCAGATTCAGTCCCAAGGAAAGAGACAACAAGGTGCAGGGCTGGATGAACACAGCAGGCCAAGCAGCATCATAGGAGCAGAGAGGCTGACGTTTCGGGCCTCGACCCTTCATCAGAAATACTGCTTTTGAGATGTTACACCTGCAGCCAATTTTTGAAGACTGGGTGTAAGATACGCACTGTCTGTTCACTCACTTGAATTATTTTAATGTCATTCGTGGTTTGTAGGCGTCACTGGCTGGGCATTTATTGCCCGGCCCTAGTTACCCTCAAGAAGGCGCTGGTGAGCTGCCTTCTTGAACCGCTGCAGTCCATGTGCTGTAGGTAGAGCCACAATGCCCTCAGGGAAGGAATTCCATTATAGGCCTGAACCTCAGTTCTTGCTGTTATCTGGTAGGTAGGTGAATGTGGCTCAGGAGAGAAGCCACAAAGGCTGAAAATTCGGAAGTCACCCAGGGGGCAATGTTCATTAGAAAATGAAACCATAGATTAGGCTAATTTAAAACAGCAGGGGTTAGTACTGCTTTCGAAAGTATCAGTTGCACAGAACAATCTTTCTCAGGACAGATGCAAAAACTTCCTGCATGGTAAAATAAGGATGCTAACCTTCCTCTCCGCCTGATTGGAGAGGTCCCCTGGGGCAGTGAAAGAGACGGAGTACAAACAAATGATTACGTGATAGAGAAATGGTAACTTTCATTCTTTGCTTGATGTTCTCATTCACACAAGGGTTCACTGTTTCTCTTCCTACTATGCCATGATGGAGACAACAGATATGCTTCTGTAAGATTGTACTGCTTTTAAAGTAGACAAATAGGTACTGGGCAGCACAGAACTTGAGTGTTGCTGAAAATAAGTTGCATTTAGTCAAATTTTTCCCCTTGCACTCATTGGAGCAATTTGCAAGAGTGCCATAGCATCTACGCAGTGCAGATAGAGGCCATTCAGCTTATCGAGTCTGCACTGACCAACCGAACAGCGTCCCATCCTATCCCTGTAATTCCCACGGCTAATCCGCCTAGCCTGCACGTCCCTGACACTATATGGGCAAATTAGAATGGCTGATCCACCTCCCCTGCACATCTTTGGACTGTGGGAGGAAACCGGAGCGCCCGGAGGAAACCCACGCAGACACGGGGAGAATGTGCAAACTCCACACAGACAGTCGCCCGAGGGTGGAATTGAACCCAGGCCCCTGGCGCTGTGAGGCAGCAGTGCGAACCACTGAGCCATCATGCTGCCCAACTCAATGGGAAAACCAACATCTTCACCAAAAGAGATAACAAGGTGTAGAGCTGGATGAACACAGCAGGCCAAGCAGCATCAGAGGAGCAGGAAGGCTGACGTTTCGGGCCTAGACCCTTCTTCAGAAGCTCCTACTATCTCTGAAACATCTTCACCAAAAGCTTGTGATTTCAGATAAACCTGTTGGGCTATAATCTGGTGTCATGTGATTTCTGATGTTCTTTAAGGGAACTTTATTTCTGGGAGACTGGTCCTAGGACTCTCCATTAATGATTTAAAGTGTAATATTATCCTGTGCGACTTATACCAACAAGTCTGACAAGTATACAGGAGATGATATCAATATGACTCAAAGGGATAAGACTTGGTTACTTCAAACCGTTTCCCCAACCACCATCTCCACTTTGTTATGGACATCAACACCTTTAATTACATAAATGACATCCTTACACCACTCTCCCTCCACCTCCCACCCCACCGCACCAACTCGCCAACCTCGCCCCCAATCTTCTACCTATCAACAACACCTCTCCCAGCACATAGTTCAAGTGTCCCCTATCTGTTCTTATCGAAGTGAGGAGAAATTTCTCTTTATTAAGATGCAACACATTGTTGTGTAACCTGGAGGCCAGGCTAGGCAAGAATTACAGAACATCAATGATCATTGCCATTGGGCACTATTCCTGAGACTGGCAATTCCACTTTTATTGAGACACTTAAATTCCACCAGCTGCAATGGTGGGATTGAACCCACGTCCCAGAGCGTTAAGTTGGAACAAACGCAGAGAATGCTGGAGAAACACTGGTAGACAGGGTGGTGAAGAAGGCATTTAGCATGTTGGCCTTCATCGGTTGAGGCATTCACTATAGGAGTTGGGACGTTATGTTACAGTTGTATAAATCGTTGATGAGGCCCCACTTGGAGTATTGTGTACAGTTTTGGACACTCTGTTGTAGGAAAGACGTAGCTAAACTGGAAAGTGTGCAAAGAAGATTTACGAGGATGTTGCCAGGATTAGTAGGCCTGAGTTATAGGGAGAGATTGGCCTGGATATGACTGTATTCCTTGGAATGTAGGAGAATGAGGCGTGACATTATTGAAGTGTATAAAACCATAAGGGGCTAGATAGGATGAATGCATATAGTCTTTTTCCCAGGGATGGGGAATTGAAAATAGAGGGCACAGGTTAAAGGTGAGAGGGGATAGATTTAAGAAGGACATGAGGAGCAACTTCTTCACGCAGAGAATGGTGTATATATGGAATGGGCTGCCAGAGAAAGTGGTTGAGGCAGGTGCAATAGCAACATTTAAAAAACATTTGGATAGGTATATGGATGGGAAGGGTTGAGAGGGATATGGGCCAAATGCGGGCAATTGGAACTTGCTGAGTGGGCAGCATGGACCAGTTTGGACTGAAGGGCCTGTTTCCATGCTGTATTACTCTGACTTGATAACTCCTCTTCCTCATACCGCAACTGAGACACGAACTCCGTTTCTGTCTCCACAGATGCTGCCAGACCTGCTGAGTTTCTCCACCATTGTCTGGAATGTTTGTTTCAGATTTCCAGCATCTGCTTTTGTACTATCCTGGATTGGTAGTCCAGTGACCTTACCATGACACCAACATCTCCTGTGATCTTTTGCTGACTGTCATTGTCTCCGACTGGAAATAACTGATGAATGATGACCTTATACAAGAGACATTTGGTGAGGATTCTCTGTGTGAGTACTGGCAGGAGTTTACTACAATTTGCACATGTTGACGCAGTGATCCATGAACTTCATTTGCAATGCAACAGTGATAGTATTTGGAAATTCCAAATTCGGTTGCTGATTCATAACCATTCATTGTGCTACCCATAGCAACTAGGATTGGGTATTTATAGCTGTAAGTGAATATTCATGTTTGACGCTCTGGATGTCTGTGATGACATCTTCAGGCAGGATTTTGTACTCGCCAGCTTAGAAAGGTGACAAAAATGTGGAATTCTGAGCTCTGGTGGGTTGCAGTGACCTTGAATTCCAGTGTTCAATTTGCCTGTTGCCACAATGGAGTTTGTATTTGTGCTGATTCTCCAACATAATGAATACAGCGTGTCTGCGGCCTTTATGAAAGGGACACCGAGTTAAAGTCCAATATCCTTTCTCGTTGGATGCTGAGTATTGTATGACCACTTTTAAACTCGCTCTCATGTTAATGATGTTGGCCTCCAAATCGATTGCCCACCAGGGACTGATTAACTCCAACATTATCTCCTACTCGGCTTGTCTTTCATCCTGCTTCCTCTCTTTTTCCCTTCCAGCTCCTCACTCATCTTTCTGAGCTGAGCAGAAGAGTCCCCTTAAAAACCCTCACCCTTCTCGAGACAGTTTGGATTTAAGACGAGCTAGTTCTTCGCCATTTCCTCTTGAATTTTAATTTTTCTTCTTTCCACTGCAAAGGAGCTGAGATTCAGAAGGAGGTGTTCTGTCACTTATTCATATTCAGTTCTGCACGTGTGTCTTGAATAGTCTGCTGAAGACCTTGTTGTGCCTTTGTCAGACTGATGCTATGCATTGTGACTGGTATTAAGTCACAGTGTGCTGGTTATACCTACAATCACTGGTCCTGCAGTGTCTGTGATTATCGAATTGTAGAATCCCTAGAATGTGGAAACAGGCCATTTGGCCCATTCAGTCCACACCGACCCTCCAAAGACCATCCCACCCATCATGCTGATGAAACCGATCATGCTTGAACAGTCAGCAAGTTGACCTACAGGTGAAACAAGATGGTCAGTACTCTTAAATCATACTAAAGCACTTTAGATAACCTCTATATCTTGGAGAGAGAGCTGAAAACACAGCTTTCTGGTCAGCAGACAAAACCATACTGAGAGACCAATTTAAATCATTTGAGAAAGACAAATGTGTGCCGCATGGATAGGAAGCAAGGAAGGGTCAAAGGCATCTTGTCAGAATGTCCCCCAAATTCTCTCATCTAAATTGGGACACAGCAGACCTCCAAACAGAATTGAAAACATTTGAACAGCATTCAAAGCTATGGTTTGTAGCGAAGGCACATCCAATGCAGAAAATCATTACTTAGCCTATCCCTGTAACCCTACACTTTCCATGGCTAATCCACCTAGCCTGCACATCCCTAGACACTAAGCAATTTAGCATGGCTAATCCACCTAAGCTGCACATCTTTGGGCTGTGGGAGGAAATGGAGCACCCGGAGGAAACCCACGCAGACACGGGTGAAATGTGCACAGTTGCCTGAGGGTGGAGTCAAACCTGGGTCCCTGGCACTGTGAGGCGGTAGTGCTGACCACTGAGCAACTGTGCCACGCCGTACTCTTTATCTTGTTCTGTATGTGGTCAGATTCTGGTTTGTTGATCATTTCATCTTTATGCCTCTGGCAGGACACGAGATGTTCAGTACTATGGTGAAAAGCAGCTTGTTGTGTGCAGTATGTTGTACTGTTGCACATTTTCCGTTATAGCTACATCAGCCTTTCCTCTGCTGTGCTGCCTCTGCCAGTGACCTTTTCTGTCACGTGCTTTGCAAAAGTGTTTGAAAGCTGCGCATTTCCCTGGTGCCTGTAGAAAGCCACACCTTTCACACGTTGAGCTGTGTTTAAGATTGGGTGAACCCTCAACTTTGTACTCAGGAACTGTAGATTTTGCAGCCAATGAGGATCACTTCGTACATGCATCCATCTTTCGGTAGCTCTTCGAAGCTACAAGTTTTCAGTTTGGCATACAGATCTTTCTGGAAAGCTTCCATTAGGGATGGATGCACTTACCAACTCTCAATTTCTTTTATGAGTTCTCCATCTGCAAAATCACAGCATGAGTCTCTTCCTCTGCATCTGCTCACAAAGTGGTCATGAAGGATTCTGTAGATTTCTGTCGAAATGAGACAAAATCTAGTTGGATGAACATGGAAATTTAATGTGACTCTGAATTGATCTTCTAGTGTGAACTATATCTTTTGGGGAACTTTTAGCTCTTTTGGCTATTAATCCCAATCTGTTAAGTCTACATAGACCTTCAGCCCCATTTGCTAAGCAATGTTTTTCGGCATTGGATGTGCCTAAGCTGCAAACCATAGCTTTGAATGCTATTCAGATGTTTTCAATTCTGTTTGGAGGTCTGCTGTGTCCCAATTTTAGATGAGAGAATTTGGGGGACATTCTAACAAGGTGCCTTTTGACCCTTCCTTACTTCCTATCCATTCGGCACACACTTGCCTTTCTCAAATGATTTAAACTGGCCTCTCAATATGGTTTTGTCTACTTACCAGAAAGCTGTGTTTTCAATTCTTTCCAAGACATAGAGGTTATCTCAAGCACTTTAGCATGATTTTAGAGTACTGACCATCTTGTTTCACCTGGAGGTTAACTTGCTGACTGTTCAAGCTTCATCAGCATGATGTTTTCCACCACTGTTCTCATCTGACAAAAATGCTCTAATTATCAGTTGCTCATCAGAAATTGATTAACTCTGTGGGTTAGTTTATTTAAAACAGTAAAACACACTGCAAGTTATGAAGCAGACATTACAGCAAACCACCTGATTTCTGTGTGCGCAGTTTGAAAACCCACACCAGACTAACTGCCAGGCAGAGTCAAAATATTTATATACACACAGCACACAGAGTCCTTTAAAGGTAAACTCCCTTAAAGGCAAGATACATGGATCCTGTCGCAAAGTGATGCTTAACAAACCACTACTGTACATCTTGTGGTTTTCAGAATGTTTCCAACCCTAATACTGACTGTTTTGCTTTGTTCGTTCAAACAAAATAACAATTATTATGGTGCAGAAGGAGGCCATTTGGCTATGATCTATTGCCAACCTCCTGCCTTTTCCCCATCCTCCTGCCCAATGTCCTCTTGAACGCCTCAGCTGAACCTGCTCCCACAACATTCCAGACAGTGCATTCCAGACCCTAACAACTCACTATGTGAAACAGTTTGCTGAAGTTTCGCAGAACCATTCTAGTAATCTGTTTATGCTCTCCAGTGCATTTGCAGCTTTCCTACAATGTGGAGCCTAAAACTGCACAGAATGCATCAGCTGAGGCCAAACATAATATCTTGTACAACTTCAACATCACCACCTTGATCTTGTAATCTATGCCTTTATTAATAATCTGAGAATGCAGTATGTTTTATTTACTGCTCCTGTCATCTTCAATGATCTGTGTATGCATGCACCCAGATCGCTATGCTTCTCTACCCCCTTTAGAATTACATCCCCTACTTTATGTTGTGTTCTTCCAACCAAGTGCATCATCTCTCACTTCTCTGCAGTGAATCTCATCTGCCGTCTATCCACCCTAATGTTTAACAGTTTAGGTAATAATGGAAAGTATTACCTAGACTTTCCATAGCATTCACCTATGAGTTCATGTAGATCAGTGAGCACAGGAAAGCAGTTCTCTAGTCCAGCTAAGGCACAAGCAGGAAGATTGGACTGACCTTGGTGCTGATCCCAAGTTTAATTTTGCAACTGTCCTTGCAAATATTTGATATTTTCGCTCTTGGTTAAACACAGGGTTTAGTTAATGACATTCTACAATATGCTAATGTAGAATGCAAATTACTATACAAATATTAATTTAATTCTTGTGTTCAATTTTCCTCGTGTTGTTTCTGTCCTCCAAACTTGCACTAAAGTCTTCATTGCAGTTACCTTTGGTGCCTCAGATTGTTTTACCGTTAGTGAAACTGATGCCTATTATTAGAGAAACTGATGCCTATTGTTACTGAGTGCACTGTTTTAGCCCATCAGTAAATATATATGGTAAACACCCATCACCTCCTTCATTCATTCCCTTCACCACTGATATACGGTGGCAGCAGTGTGTACTATCTACAAGATGCACTGCGGCAACTTATCAAGGCTCCGATGACTGTAGTTTTCAAATCCATTTAGAAGGACAAGGACAGCAGATACATGGGAATAGCACCAGCCACAATTTTCCACTCAAAGGGCACTCACCATCCTGGCTTGTAATGTTATCACTGTTTCTTTACTGTTGCTGGGTCAAAGCCCCTCTATAACAGTACATCCCAAGCAGCTCACCAACACTTTCTTGAGCACTTAGGGATAGTCAATAAACACTAGCCCAGCCAGCAACACACACACCCACTAAGTGAATATCTTTTAAAAGTCTGATCGTTGTCTAATTGATGTTTTTCAGATCTTGGAATGCTAGATTGGAGCTGCATTGCAACAGTGACTACATGTCACAAATGCTTAATCATCTGGGTCAGCATTTATTGTCCATCTCTAGTTACTGTGCAGAAGGTAGTAATGAGCTGCCTTCTTCAACCACTGCAGTCCAGGTTTAAATGCTTTCATGAAGAGGCAAAAGGCCTCGGAGAAAGAAGGATAGGAAGCATATCCTGCACTCAGGATCACACTATCTCCTGTGCTATTACTGAGCAAATCAGATTCAAGACTGAAATATGGCTCTTAGATCAAAGTTTCTTTTTTTTCCCTTTTGGTTTTGTGGAGGTGGTCTCTCACTGAAACACAGACACTGCAATGCTGCAGATCTGGTTTTAACAATGAAATAATGCTATTACACATGATAAGTAAAATAAAACAGAACAAACCAAATTATTTCCGTATAATACACGTTTACAAAATTTAGAAACACACAGTAAAATGCAATCTCAATAATTCCCACAGCACTCACTAATAGTACTCACACCAGACAGAAT